AGTATTTAAAAGTCATTATAATCCATAATTATGTCCCCACTGGATGCAACAAATGCCTCATTTATAATGGGTTTTCATGTTTTTTAATCATCGCTCTGGCCTGACAGGGCATCATCACAGTATGGTAAGGGGTGTAACATTTCCATCACACGCTTGAGGTATTCGGCCAATCACAACGCACTGGATAGCTGGCCAATCAGAGCACACCTCGCTTTTCAGAACGATGAGCTTTGTAAAAATCTACGCGTTTCAGAAAGGCTGGGCATAGAGGAGAAGCAATAATGTACAGTATGTGAAAAATAATGTGTTTTTTTAACCTTAAACCACATAAACACATTTCATTACACCAAATACACAAAATAATGTTCTTTTTAGCAGCATCACATGACCCCTTTAATATTTTATGTGCAACAACAGCATATGCTGTCTCAGTGGCCTTACACATGATTTTAAATCAATTTTTTCAAACTTTATGATTTAAATGTGGATGATTGTACTCAGAATAACTTTCATCTTTTCTTCAACTGAATATTGTTTCCGTGCTGTTTTGATGTATTTTAAAGAGTTGGCATTCAAAACTGCTGGATGATAGATACTCTTCATTATTTATGACAAATAAGATAATGTGAATTACAGAATGTACAACGTTTTAAAAATGTATCAATTGCGGTGTACTGCGTTTATTATGCGGGGGTAGAATCCACAGCTCAGTACTCACTACTCAATACTCATGAGTACTTTTAAATAGGCTACTCTTTTATTCTTACTCAAGTAGTTTTTGGACAAGTACTTTTTTTGGAAGGTAACGGTACTTTTACTTGAGTATATTTTTTCAGCACTCTTTCCACCACTGCCTGTATTTAAGTCCTAGTCTGTGCAGTCTGTCTCTGTCGGTTCTACTTGTTATGTTCATGTGTTTCCTGCCGTTCCCAGTGTTGGATGTACCCTGTGTTTCTTGGATTAAAGACTGTTTAGTTTATTCCTCGTCTCCATCGTTCCTTGCCATCACAGATTGTGACAGAAGAATTGACCAAGACAGTAACCTCCGTGTGTCTACCCTCCGTTTTATTTCCCGTTTTTACCCAGTGTCTTTTTTTCCCGTTGTTCCTGGATTGGATGCCCTTCTTTGCCCCGAATCCCTCCTCCTCCTGCTGGAGCAGGGGGAAAACGACCATACTAGACTGTTCCAGCTGCTAGCAAGCACCACCAGCTACCCGGACGACGCGCTCTGTGCGTTCTACAATGCCATAAACATCGAGTGCAGAGCGCCGTCGTCCAAAGATGGTCCTCGAGAGGATTTCGGCGCATTTGTGGAGTGGATTCTGGCGAGAAACGGGTCACCTCTCACCGTCACTCCCGAGGATGATCTCGCCAGAAGCGAGAGCCGGCGACAATGAGGGAGAAAGCTCCCTCCCCCTGCACCGCAGCTGAGGGTGAGCTGAGTATGGTGCAGTGAAAGTGCCAAAGCGAAGAGGAGAGGGCTCCAGACCCCGAATCCAGTCCAGAGCACCCTCCAGTGCCCACTCCTAGAAAGCACCCAGTGCCAGCTCCTCGTAAGCGCCCTCAAGTGTCAGCTCCTCCTGAGCGCCATCCTGTTCCCGTGTTCAGCCTAGAGGGGGCTTCCGATCCAGAGTTAAGCCCTGAATGCCCAGAGACGCACAAATGCCCGCCCTCCCACCCGCTCCTGCCTCCTCCACCGCTGTCGTCTGGCAGCCCCTCTGCTCGCCCTCAGCCCACCATCATTACGGTGCGGGCGCCGCGGGTCTGCCATCCTCCAGCATCGCCATTGGCTGGAGAATCCCTCACCTCTGCCTCCAGCCTCCGAGGCCCGGACTCCGCCTCGGCCCGTAGACCC